TCAGTCATAAATGCAGGGCTAAGTACCATTAGCTCCTTCTCATAACCCTCAATCAGACAGGCAGAAATGGGCTTTCCTCGACTTTCTCTACATAGTACCACAAAGTAGCTTATTTTATAGAGCACAAGTTCCCAGAATATAGAAAGTTATTTTATTCATTTCCTCTTTTTTTATCCTAACAACACACAAAATAGGCATTAAATTTACTAGATAGACATTGGATATGCTGCTGTTATGTGCCATTGAGTCGTCTGCAACTCATACAGACCCTATGTAAAACAGCTCTGAAGCCTATCCTGTCTTGAGCCAGTCTCACTGACTCCAATACACCTATCCCCAATACCCCAGTTATTGTATCAATTAAATGAATCTCATTCCTGGATTTCCTCTCCTGTGCTGTCCCTCCATCCTTCCAAGCATGATGTCCTTCTCCACATACCAGTCCCTCTTGTCCACGTGCCCAAAGTATGTGAGACAGAGCTTCAAAATCCTAGCCTCCAAGTTCTCTAAAATCATACCAAAAATATATGCATTTTTCTCAGGTTTACTACTCTTACTAAGAGGCTAACTAAGAACTCAAAAATGTTAAAGAAACTACCCCGATAAAAGGTTCAGGTATCTGTCAGCCTTTATTCAATAGAGAAATCAAAATTAATTTTCTTTGCTTTATCTTAGGGAAATTAATAGTTTCTTTAAACCTTAACTTTCCTTACTGTAAAAGGTAGTATTATTTACCTCAAAAGTTTTCTGGGAGAACTGAATGCAAGTATGCACACAAAGTCCTAGGATAACAAAGAATACATAACAGGCATTCAATGATGGAAGTTTCCTTTTGCCACCTTCCTTCATGTTTACACACCCATGAGGAGAGCAGATTCATGCCCTTCAATTTTTTAATTACAAATTGTTGCTATCTTTAAGGCTTGTAAATTCTTGGAAATTTACCATTTATACCTTCAACAGGGTTAGTTGTCTTTTAGAAACACATTACTTTAACTGTGAATTTTGGAAATTAAATCTAATTAATTTTCTCTGACAAATGCAAAAAAAATATTTCAGGTATATTAACTGAACATTCTTAAGAGAATTTAGCTTCTAAATATAGCCCTCCTTTTTCTTATGACTCTTTCCCTGATCTCCTTGCACTCCCCCGTAATTAATCACTCCTTGTGTATAACCTGCATTTATTTCTTATAAAAGGTATTTGCTATGAGTAAGTCATTAATTGTACAGAATTCTATCATTCTACCCCAGGCTCATTTCTGTCACCAAGTCTATTATTTTCTGAAAATTGATCCTTCTTCCTGATTCCCAACCTTTGCATTTCAGTCACCCATTATTATTAATGCATCTTGGTTACAGGTTCGATCAATTTCTGGCTGCAACAGTTGATATAAATCATCTACTTCCTTCTCTTTGGCTCTGGTTGTAGGCACATAAATATGAATGATAGTGGTATTAAAAAGTCTTCCTTGTATGCATATGGATATTATCCTGTCATTCACAATATTGTATTTCAAGACTTATTTAGAAATAGCCTCTTTAACTATAAAAGTGACCCTATTTTTGGTCACCTTTTCATCCCCACCATAATAGATCATATGATCTTGGGATGTCAAGTATATTTTTCTATACTTAACTCAAATGTCCTTTTATTTCCTGGTTTACAAATCCTCTATATTCTCTTGATAATATATAATTGGTGACATATAATAATATATCAAGCTATCATTCTCGTAGTGCACTTATAGGCCGGAAATTTTAATCCACATAATAAAACGAATTTAAGTTAAAAAAAATACATATGAACCACAAGACTTTTATTTGCTAACATTGTTCTCCAAGTCCGTAGACTGAGTTCCCAAACAAATGTTTGATTTATCTTAATATATTCAGTCACTTATAAAACTTGATCCAAAAAAAAAACTTGATCAAAATAAAGGATCTTCTACCAAAATTTATATCATAGAGTGAGTAGGCATATGTGCAAAGCTAAAGATTTAAGAGGAAGATTACTAAATGAAAATAAATTACAAGTCAAAGTTATGGCCTCAGGGTATAAATGTCAAAGCTACTCATTAGGAATATGTTCCTTAAATATTGCCAAAGGTCTTAAGAGCTTGAGATTGGCCATCCAACATATAAAAATTATTCTCCACAGTACAGAACAAAAGACAATAACCTAGAGATGAAGGAGACATAGGAATTTAAGAAGAAAATGGTTTGCAAGTCCTTGCCTCCATAAACTCCCTTAACCTTCTTTACCACGAGACCAAAACAAATCAAAGTGCCTGAGTACCATTACCAAGCATTTTGATTATGAATACAAAGGATGTACCTTGATCAAAAGTAGTGAAATGTAGAATAGAACTTCATATTCTTGGGAAAACCAGGCTTACTATATACATTGAAACTAAAGGAATCTTTCAATCTATTGCCCGGAACCAACTTTCAAACCTTGAACAGAAACTAAAGCAAGAAGTCATCTGTCATCTTTAAGCTTAACAAAAGATTAAATTTGATTAACAAGGAATGTTTTGGTCACTAAAGCCTTTAAGTGCACCCAAAGAAGCCTTAATAATTCTACATGAATTTAAATTGGTAACAGTGACTCTGAAGCATAGATGAGCTTATAAGTAAAAGAAGAGCTTATAAGTAAAAGAACTTGAGGACAGTGAGCATAGTAGCACAATATGCAGTATTTCACTATTGTCATTGTAGAACAGTTGTAGAGTCATTAAGATCATACAGTGAATTCTCTTTTTCTGGGAAAATATGATTACCACCAACTTTTAATTTTCACGAGGCTTCCAGTATGGATTATATTTCAATATAAGGAAAACAAATATACTCAAAACTGAACAATAAGCAACATCATGATAAAAAGAAAAAAGACTGAAGTTGTCGAAGATTTAATTTTATTTATCAAAATCCATGAAGGCAGCAGTTAAGAAATCAAATGACATATTGCAATGAGTAAATCTGCCACAAAGGACTTCTTTAAAATGCTCAATCAAGGACATTGCTTTGAGAGGTAAGGTGTATCTGACCAAAGCCATGCATGGCGTTTTTAATTGCCTCTATGACCCCGGATGAGATGGACTGACAGAGTAAGGATCCAGAGAATGTTGTATCTTAGGATAAGGGGATAGGTGTGTCAGAGTCAGTGAGACTGGCTCAGGATCAGGCACGCTTCAGAGCTATTGTACATAGGGTCACTATGAATGGTAGGCAACTCCACAGCACATAACAATAACATGCATTTCAAAGTTGGATAATAAATAAAGGAAACTAAAGAAGAATTTATGTCCTTGAAGTGTACTGTTAAAGAATACTGAATGAAATGTCAAAAAATAAGCACATCTGTCTCAGAAAAAGTGCAGCCAGAATGTTCTTTAGAGGCAAGGATGAGGAGACTATCTCATGTGCTCTGGGCATGGTATTTACAGGTGCCAGTCCCTTGAGAAAGACATTAAACATGGTAAAGGGCCAGAGAAAAAGAGCCTCACCAAGATGGGCTGACACCATTGCTGCAATGTCGAGTTTACACCTGGCAGAAATTGTGGGCTGGCATGAGATGAGACAGCATTTCATTGTATTGTACACAGGGTTACTATAAGTCTGAGATGGACTGGGCAGCACCAAACAACAATGTTGCTCCACTTGTGAAAACTGCTGAATAGACAAATGTCTTGCGGTAGATATTTTAATAAAAAATACTCAGGAAGAGATAGATGTTTTAGTGACAAGGGTGGGAAGGAAACATCCTTACCTGTCTTCGGTAAGCTTCATTAAGGTTGTTCCTCTAGTAGAAAAGACAATGAAGGACATTCTTAGCTGTGGGCTAAAAAGTAAAAATAAAAACAAGAAAACTCCCTTAAGGCACTATTTTGACATATTCAAACTTGTTCTCTTTATATCATGGCTACCATAGCTGAGGACCTACAGTAGAAAAGGAGACTCTAATGCTGGCATCTCAAGTATTTATGGAGCACAAGACTTAAAGCTGTGGGCCAAAGAGATCATTAATTTTGTCTTTCTGGAAACTGCCTCTGATTTGATATCTTTGGCCAGTAAGTCTTCATTACATATAAGAAAACTTAAGTTTATTACTGTTCTGTGCAAACTTTGAACAAATGTATCAATAGAAGAGGAAAGATGTGCCTGGAGAATCCTGAATGGCAAAATTGGGCAGTTTCCACACAAGACTTCTGACAAGGAGAGAGTCTCAATCAGCTTTGCAAGGTGATGCCGTAAGTCATCAAGATCATAAAATTAATTCTCTTTGTTTGGGAACCGGGATCAGGACAAACTGTGAATCTTCACCTGACTTCCCAAGGAAGTTATTTCCATAAAAAGAGAGAATGTGCTTAACAAGGATAAATTACGTATTCCATTTAGTATGTATATTCATTATAATTAATGACTAAATTTGCCTGGCTTTTATATGTTCATGTTCAACAACTTCAACAATATTAATCCCACACTCTAGGAGATTGAAAAACACTCAGCTGTATCCCAACATGCTCCTCAGTCTACAAGATGAGCTGTAAGACTGCTGTGGGTCCACCAACAGAACATCCTGTCACCAATGGGACTGGACTCTCTGGGTGGTCAGGTGGATTATTCCTCATAGCACTAGCCTATTTCTTCACATTACAATAACATTCACACATGATCTAAGTAAAAACTTATCACTGCTACGTCTTAAAGTGTTTCTCAAACCTGCTTCCTCTTCTTTTCTGTCTCTTAGCTTAGAATCTTGTCCTGAATCACATGTCTACTGCAATGGTTTCTGAGCTGGTTTTCTTGCCCATCACCATTCCTTACCCCAATATATTCTTCACATTGCTAACAGACATGTTTTCCTAATTTATAAGTCTTCTGTTATTAACTTCTCTGTTATAAGCAAACCTTTTATACCTTCAAGGTAAAATCTATGTTTTCTTGTGTTCAATCCATCTTTGAAAACCCTTAGAATAGATATAACACTCAGTAGGAGGAGTGAATTGAGCACTGGTTTCTTAGAACCAATCACAATCTCTTCTTGGGAGGCCGTGCTCCTGGATACTACATCACCAGTGCTAAGGCAGTAGGACTACTATCACTTAAATGATAGTAGTAAGGATACTCATTGATGAAAGAGAAATTGTAATGGTCAATTCACTTGGCTTAATATGTGGCAGGTACTATATTTGCAGTGATTTACAAGAATTCTCTCACTAAACATAATTTCTCTCATAATCTTTACATGTAAAGCCAAGATTACTAAATTGCTTCTATCTGTACAATGGATCTTAGATTTAAACTACATCTGGCTAACTTCAAAAACTTTTCTGTGAGACTCTCCTCCTTCAGAAGAAGAAGAGGACAGGAAGAGTGCCTAGAGACGTAGCAGACAACACTGTCAAACACAAGAAGGCAGAGTTTGCATAATTCTGAAACACTCATGAGTGAGAGTGCAGGAAAGGACATTCTTCTGGCTCAAAGACAAAGGATGTTTCTGAAAGTCAGAATTGTCCCAACTATTAGACAATTTACCTCAAAAGACAAAAGCTTCTCAGCAAAACAACTGAAGTTGAAGATTAGTGAATCTTGCTTAAGTTAATAAACTTTTCTTTCAATTGGAAGATTTTATGATTCTCTTAAATATTTTCATCTATAAGCTGTACTTTCTCTGTATTTTTATTACTCCTCTTTGCACAGTATTGTTTTCTCCATTCATCTGAAAATAGATGCTTCCTCCAACAGTTTCCAATTTCTGACATTACAGAGAAAGCGGCCTTCTCTTCAGCTTCAATCAGGGGAACAAGTATATGTTAAGACTAGAAACTGAATGTGGGGGGGGGATACATTACCTTGGGCCAGAGGACAATCTACATTGGGCTGAAGAACTTCAGTCAAAAGAGAAGTTTACTCATAGTAGCTGGAGAATCCAATGGCGGACATCCAGCAAGGAGTGGGGTTGTGTTAGAATTTGCAATAACCAGACTAAATTTACTAAAGGTCTTAACAACTTGTTTCACATATCTCTTGAAAGCTATCACAAGCTATCTCAGTTGTGTTATATTATATATGGGTATTTCACACAAGAAAGGTGAAAATATTTCCTTTCCTGTATTTGACACATCATTAAGGTTAATGATAGTGCTGGTTTACTAATAACTAAGGAGGTTTCAGTATGTAATGCTAGATTCAGGGCAGGCATGCACAAAAGTCCTGGTTTCCTTGGAACTGAGGACTTTCCTTGTTAAAGACAGGAATTTCCTGAGCAAGCTAGATCAAGTTGGTCAACCTGCACACAGGGCAGCTAAAATACACCAATTGCATTGTGATGCACTGTGAAAGGAACAAGTTAATGATCTTTTTTACAAAAATACATTCTTCAACATGAGAGGCAGAAAGTAAAAATTTTGTCTACTAAACCTGGCTACTACTGAAAACACAATAATTAATTATATCAAATATAATATATAGGAATGATTGTATCAAACACAATGTATATGAATGATTGTTAATTAATAAAAAATACAACATTAAAAAAGGTTACTTTACTATGTGGGACAGATGAAAACAAAGTTAACAGTCATTGGTATGAGATGTGAGAGTTCATCTTTGTCAAAAACCAAATAATTATCTACAGAGTAGTCAGTAATTAGTAGAAGAGTAAGCATGATCTAGTTTTGTTAAGGAAACATGTAAATTTTGTTTCTCACCTGATGAATTTGTGGGCCAACTGTTCCACAAAGTAATAGATTTCATTCCAATGGTGCAGTACACTTCCTGATCTAAGAAAACAAAGCAGTTATTGGTTAATTCAGTTGTTCCTTAGTCTTTACCTTAGATTATTTCTCTTCATAGTCTATTGTTTTTATACTCTGCTGACACATTAACTGAATGCATTATCTGAAACTTCTAGAGCATGAAAAAATATCTGAAAGCATGTTTAAGTTTTTGTTAGAGCTTTGAAAGGTTTGTTAAAGAAACTTCTCCCATATCACCTCTTTTTCTCCTCACCCTATACACAAATAGATTCAAATCTGTTTCAAATCTTAAGAGGTGTTTTGTATTATTTATAGTCTTCCCTTAATTATTCAATTCATTCATTGTCTTCCAGTCAGAAAGGACTCAAAGCTGACCCTCCAGCAGGAGATTGTCTATTGTTCTCCCAGAGTCAATACCAGAGAAGTGAGGTCTTTATGTTAGCAGCCTAACTCTATGAACTATGCCATCAGAGAGAAGAAAAACTATTCTCATTCATTCAGATGAAATGAATGAACCTAGACATCCTCAAAGAAGCTCTGAGATGTTGCAAATGATTAAGGACTTGCCTACTAGCTGAAAAATTGGCAGTTCAAACCCATGCAGAGGCACCTGGGAAGAAAGGTCTCTTTCTTTTGCTTCTGAAATCCCATAGCCTCGCTAATTCATTCACTACATTGAATGACATGGAAAAAGGTACGCAATCTTGGTGTTTATTTGGCCTGGTGTTTATTTGACTCAATAAAGGGGAGAAAGCTAAAAAAAAAATCCTTGGGTGTTGAGAAGAGTCTAGATCCATTTAAAAACTTAACTTGCTAATAAGCATGTTCTAGGTATCACAGATCCCAAATTTTTTTCAAGAAGAAAATAAAATGAGGTATATAAGACAAAACCCAAGAAAAAAACCCTCTTGGGAGCTTGAGTGGCATTGACTATGGAGCTGCACTGTGTAACTCAAAGTTGTCACTTCTCTGGCAGTTCAGATACATCAAGTGCTACATGGGAGAAAGATGGACAAGCTCCTCCAGTGTGATTGACAGACACAGAAAATGAGCTGGAGGGTCAGCTACGAGTCAGTTCTGACTCAATGGCAACGAGTTGAGTTTTGAAGATAAAATTAAAAGAAGACATTTAAAAACTTGTTTTTCTTTCTCATACTCCACCGTTGATAGTTGTTCTACCTGTGTGGGGCCTGTTTGTTTTATAAGTGATTATTCTTTATCCAATATTATAAGCCTGGAACCAGATATTCCTCCATTGAGTCACACTTGAGATGGACCTAGTCAGCTTCCTCAAGCATTGGAAGTTATCATCCAAACCCAATGTTGCCATCAAGTTGATTCAGACTCAAAGACCCTATAGGAGAGGGTAAACTGTCTCATGGGGTTTCCAAGGCTGTTAATGTCTACAGACACAGATTGCCTCATTTTCCTCTTGCAAAGCTAATGACAGGTGAAATCACCTACCTTTTTATTAGCAGCCAACCTCTTCAACCACTGTGCCAGGTTTACACAGCCTTTCATATTTTGGAAACTAAACTGGTTTTGCCTTCTCTGGGTTACTCTGAGACTCCAAGAGCCTCCTCAGTTACTAAAGAGGCAAGGGAAGATAAGATTGTCTAGACCTGTAGCTTTGAGTCTTTCTAGTTCTGATTATCGTGTCTTAACCTACACAAATAAGCTCTGTTTTACAAGATCAACCTACTACCTGGGAAAGTAAATCTCAAAGGCACCGAGTTCTGTGGCAGCTGTTGATTGGTTTTACCGCAGGTATTTAACTCACTTTCCCATTATCAGGACACCTCACAGATCTTCTCTCCAACATCACTGTCCGTCAGCCACAACTAGTCTTCCTCCCCCTAAAGCCTTAAAACACTTCATCTACTAAAATGTTCAGTGTGACCTCAGCTATGTTCCTGTCCTTCCCCTACAAGAACAGATAAGCAATTCAAACTGTTAGAACACATGTCTCATCTGCTCTTTGCCTTATGAACAAATTCTCTGGTTTGGAAGTTACACCAGTGGCTACTCCCAGAATAGCCAATCAATGTTGGAGTATCCATGTCACACCTTAATTTCCTCTCAACCCTGGGCCTAATGGACTTCTGATCACAGCCAGGAGAAAGAGGGTATTGATTAGGTAAGTAAGAGAGTTGTTACTGTTTTTGTTGTTATTATATGCCATCAACTGGGCTATGACTCATAGTAACTCTATGAACAATGGCTCTAAACCCTGTCCTAAGCCAGTCTCCCTGTCTCTGACAAACTTTTCCTCAGTGTCATAGTCACTGTGTCAATCCACCTCATTCAGAGTCTTCCTCTCCTCCACCTTCCCAAGCATGATGTCTTTCTCCAAGTACTGATCTCTCTTGGCAAAATGTCCAAAGTATATGAGTCAAAGCTTCACAATCTTTATCTCTAAGGAGCAACCTGATTTCACCCTCTCCAGAACAGAACTGTTTGTTCTCTTAGCAGTCCATGATAGAGGAATCAGTTTTTCATCTGTTATCCTTAGTCACTCTGATGTGTAACACCTAACTGCAAAGACCATGGCTTGGAAGAGGCGCACCTTAGTCTCTAGACTGGCATTGTTGCTCCTTAGCACTCTGGAGAGATCCCTAACAGTAAATTTTTTCAAAGCAACTCATGTTTTGATTTCCTGACTTCTGGTTAATTGAGGACCCAAGCCTTCTGAGTTGTCTCTGGGTTGGTTTGAATGTGTAATCTTTTGGCTAGCAGTTTAAGCACATAACCAAATGCACCGATCTAGAGACTCCTACTTAAAAGTTAATGACTTTAAGTTCTACAGACCAAAAGAAGTGAAAATCAGCCATTGTTAACAAAGCTCCAATATAGAAATAAAAACTCCTTCTAAGCCCAAATACGAATAGGACTGGACTCAGCTGTGGTTTGGGTTTTCCAGAACTATTTCTAATATGAAATTGCTGAGTTAACTATAGTCACAGAGGGTTGTGTTGATCATGTTCTAGAACTCAGTGGATGAGAAAGAGACCTAAAATTTGGGTTAAATTCCATCTCAAATACAAGTGTAGGGCCTGAAGAATTCTTCAGGGTATGTTAACATCGGACCAGCATGGAGGGTCTAGGCCCTTCTTGGGATTTTTATGCCTCTGTATTACAAAGAAACATTTCAGAAAATATATGACATACAAGTAGCCTCCTATGAATTCTGCTACAGATTCTTTCAATAACCTGTTGTTACTGTTAGCTGCTAAGCCAGCTCCCAAATCATTAAGGATCAGTTATAGAGCAAAACAAAATGGGAGAACTGTGCCATTGCTTGTGAACTGGACTACTGTGATCCATATAGTTTTCATTACCTAACTTAGAGATGTAGGTCTACAGTCCTTTTTTCTTAGTTCATCTTTGTCTGGAAGCTCCCCTGAAACTTGTTCAGAGTCATAGCAACATATTAACTTCCAGTGATGGACTGTGTGGGTTAGGCTGTTGCTAGGAATTAAACCAGGAACCTTTGGCATGGAAAAACAGACTACTAACATTGAATCACAATGTCCCCAACACACCTCAAAATCAAAGTCAATGTCCTCCTACGCCATTTTCTGTGACATGGCTTTGGAGAAGCCAAGATCTCACTACGATCCCCAAAGACAGTAACTGCTGAATGCAATTCCAGGGTTTCTTAATATAATTATTTAATTAATTTTCCCCGTGGTGACCTCTTCAGTATTTGGAACGTGGTAAGAAGTCAACAGATTTTCCTTAAAGTGCATTCACAATGTGAGGACTTTTGCACACAAGTTGGCATTCATATTATTGCCCAATCATTTCTAAGGGTCTAATATGCAAAGAGTAGGAGCAAAGTAAGAACACTGAATCACAAATCATTCTGATTTGTTTTCTGAAATGCATTCTTTTGTGTTTATGTCAATTTCCAAACCTCTCTGATTAAGCTTCTCAAAAAAACATAGGCTCTTTCCATTAGCCACACATGCAACCAGAGTCAGAAAGTGTAAGGTTGGCCAAATAGAATTTAAATGGTTAAATTAAATTTAAATGGTTCCCCTTCTCTTGCACATGGGGTAGAATATTAAAAAAGGACAAAAAGAGAGCTTCCAGTTGGAGTCTTCTAATTCTGGATGAGCAGAATAGCTCTAAAGATGAAAATGATAAAACTGTCAGCTCCCGATTTTCTTTCACTCCACTCAGCTAAAGTCAATGATGTTCTCAAGTGATCCACCCAGGTTCCCCAGCCAATCCTAGAAGGATATGGGCATGTTCAGCTGCTCAGGAACCAGCAAGAAGGACTATGGAGATTAGTGCTGCTGTCAAAGATCCCACATTCTTTTGCTTCTATGGGACAAGCCTCATACCTGTCCCATCGCCTCAATTCCTTCCTTTGCCCTCCTGTCCTTCCTCCTAATCTCACCACTTGAACTACTTGCCAATTCTGACTCATGATGGTCCCATACTTGTCAGAGTAGAACTATGCTCCATAGAGTTTTCAATTAACGGACTAGAAATAGATCACCAGACGATGCCCATTAGTCTGTTAAAGATTCTACCTAGCTTCATACTACATCCTAAAAAGATGTAGCCCTCAATTTAGACCACACCTTCAGCTCTTGCCCTCCTGATTCAGATCATAGTCAAGCATTCCTCCTGCTTTCAAAAATTGACCACGACTCTTGCCTTCAGATCACTTTTTCAGACATCAATCCAGACTGAAATCAAGTTTCTAAGTCTTATATTTTGGGAATAAGGTGACTCAACTTATTCAGTCTGATCTGTAGAAATCCCACCCTTGAATGCTCTGCCTTAAACCCACTGATTAGTGACAAAGTCCTTAGTCAAATCTAGCTGATGGCTTTTAAACAAGTTTTAAGCTGTAACATTAACAATCCATTATGGTTTGGGAACTCAATTGGGTGTTATACTGTCAAAGACAAAATAGAACACAAAAATCAGAACATCTTGCATACAGTAAGAGAAAGTAATTATTACATGAAAGTTTTGGTCAGTTTTGTTTAATAATTATTTATATAAAG